AGTATTAAGGATGCACAAATAATTATTTTTTCTTGATGCAGTAACAAATGTCATGAAGACATGTTTGTACTACGATAGCCATTTTGCCCAATTGTAGTTTTATTTAATGAAACAAATTTTCCCTGAATCTTTTCAAGCTTAAAAAAAAGTTTTTGTGGTCTTTAACTGTACAGTTAATTCTTACACCAGTAAAAACTTCCATAAATCAAACAAATTAATAATTTTGTATTACAATATGTTTCCTCTAAGACACATCCGGATACTGTTAGCCATCCCATGTGCACTCCCTACCACAGTCTGTTCAGATTGTCACATAGGATATACAAGTATTGATGTACACTCATGAGCATTAGAAGCCCCCAATATCTATAATGTTTCTATGAAATTCACACAGTACACTGTTTTGCTATAGCTACAGTACAAGCACTTAGACTCATAGCAGTAATAATCACCAATGTTAGCTTTTAACAGTTAAATTTTTTATTCTGGATACATCCACTAACATCCATCTTTGCTGCCTGGGTACAAACCAACAATGTACGTACACCGCAGTTGACTGACTGGGTACAAACCAACATTGTACGTACACTGCAGTTGACTGACTGTGTACAAACCAACAACGTACATACACTGAAGTTGACTGACTGGGTATAAACCAACAATGTACGTACACTGCAGCTGACTGACTAGGTACAAACCAACAACGTACGTACACTGCAGTTGACTGACTGGGTACAAACCAACAACGTACATACACTGCAGTTGACTCACTGGGTACAAACCAACAACGTACATACACTGCAGTTGACTGACTGGGTACAAACCATCAATGTATGTACACTGCAGTTGACTGACTGGGTACAAACCAACAACGTACATACACTGCAGTTGACTGACTGGGTACAAACCAACAATGTACATACACTGCAGTTGACTGACTGGGTACAAACCAACAACGTACGTACACTGCAGTTGACTGACTGGGTACAAACCAACAACGTACATACACTGCAGTTGACTGACTGGGTACAAACCAACAACGTACATACACTGC